GAAATGATATTTGCAGGGCACATACTTTGCTGTGATTCTGATTCAAGTAATGTGGCAGTTTAGGTAAATGTAACTTCACTTAGTTGTTGTCTCTTTGTCTTAGCATGTCTTCAGGAATACCATGGGGTTCATCAGACACCCCCTGATCTAAAGGTTCAGTCTCAGAATCAAAAGAGAGACAGACCCTGAGAAGACCTTTGAATGTCAGGCTGTGGAAAACTTGAGGTCCTGAGCAAGATTTACCTTCAGCAGTTTCTGGGAGTTATTAAAAAGCAAAAAGGCAGTCAAAGATCTTTGTAATATTCTTCCATAGGTCTCTCTTCTGAGTCTGTTGGTGTAAACTCCCAAGAGTGCACTTCAGATTCTTTCAGTGGTGTAAAGGTTAGAAAGATGCTGAAGGTTTTATTTTGAGATAGAAGCAACAAAATGATAAGTTCTGTGGTGAACTTTTTCACCACGTAAGAGTAGCCCATATTCCAGTAATTTCCATATATGTGTGGATGTGAAGGGAATAGAATTGGTCAAATCGTTTCAGACATATACATCTCTTCGATAAATATATGTATTTCTGCTTTATTAAAATTTATTGATGAATTCTGGTTGAATTAAGTGAAAACCATATTTGGAAGTAATTTGGAGGAAAAAATTGAAATATCAAAATATTTTCCATCACACTTTGAAAGCAAAAAAATTTCTATTTAAGACTAGAGAACTCTTTGAGTTTGAATGAAGCACTGCTTTTGATTTGAAACAGTTTTCTTGGCATAGTTTTCCTCTTTTCAGAAAAATGAAAGTTTTTTTGGTCAGACACCAACTTATTAAAAATGTGTAACAGGAAAAAAATACAGATGCAATCAAAGAGTCAAACAATGAAATGTCTTTGCACACCTAGGTAGATCACACCAATGTTTTCACCCGTGGCTCTGAAGGCAGGTCCTGGAGTGGAGCTGGGTGGAGTGTTACATTCTGTTCCAGGATGTTTTCACTCATGAACTATTTGCATTTAAAGAAAAAAAAAAGCATTAAATTGTGCATGTCTCCAAAAATGGTTTGTAGAAAATACTTGAAACGTTTGGTACCTTCATCTCTAAGTAAAGCAATTTTGGAGCCTTCTGAGAGGCAAGAACTGTCTGAGAATCTTTGAACTGTGTGAGAATCTTAGACATATACTCTCTCTCTAAAATATGTGGTTTATAAAATGTGTGGTATATAGAATATATATAATGATATATTACACATATATAATATGCAACATATATGGATTATATATAAAATATTCTCTATATAATATGTATTTTTATACATTTTATATGTATTTTACATATTTTTGTGAAAACAGGAACTATTTCTAAACAGATTGATGAAGTTATTTTCTAGTGGTTCTCAGAGGCTGAAAGACAACTTAAAATTCTGTAGAAAACAGTGAACAGCACTGAACAGTTGGCTTCAAGTGAACCTTCTGGCTGATGACTAATTTTCTTGCACTGATATGGCTTTGCTAACTAAAGGTTGTACTGTTGACTTGGTCTCCATTTCCCAAGTGGCTTCCTTGTTTTTGACAGAGATTTGAATTTCAAGTCTTCTGAATGTCATGCAGTGCCTGGCCCTTACTCCTTTGAGAGGAGACATTACACTCTAATAAACCTTAGGCATCCTCCCAAGACATCTATCCATCTGGTCTTAATTGCACAACAGCAAAGCACCCTGAGGATGGAGAAAGGTTGCTGCAGCAGGGAACTTCTTGCTACTGCTGCACAATGATTCCCAGTGCTCCTGGGAAGGGAAACAGGGGAGAAAGAACAGAAATAGTTCTGTGTTGTTGCTATCATCCTCAGACTTCCCCGTGAGGAAGAGAGCTTGAGCTTTAGAAGATGAGAGATGGTGCTGAGGACCATGTAGAAAGGGAAGGGGTGAAGGTATTTGCTGGGACATTTGGGGAGGGGATGGAGGTAATGTTGCAGTCTGGAGCTCCATGAGAGGCAAGAACATACCTTAAGGGAGGTAGAGACAGGGATGTACCTGATCAGAGGTGATGAAAGTAGAGACAGGGATGTACCTGATCAGAGTTGGTGAAGGTGCAAATGAATCAGATGCCACAGCATGTTTGCTTTGGAAGTAGAGTGGGAAAAATACTTTCAGATTCTCTCTTCTAGCACATGAGTTGTCAGCCTAGCAGTCAATTCTATATTTAATTCCCTGATGGTGACTCTACTCCACAGACTAAATTCTGCTGCCTGGTACAGTCTTAGTTCCTGCAGACACCATCATCTGCCCTCTGTGCACAGAAACTCAGCAT